TGCAGATATTTCAAAATGGCAGAAGGACATATTCGAAATCCGGATTGGGAAGACGATGATTCTCTAAAGAAAGATTTGACCGCCTTCGTAAGACAAAATTTGAAACAAAAAGAAATATTAAGTTTGGTTGTACGTAAATATCCGATGTATGCATGGAGCCTTCGAACTTTATCTCGTCGTCTAAGTTTTTTCGAGATAAAGTATTCAGATTACGATGTGGACGTAAATGAGCTGAAAGAAGTTGTGAAAACAGAAATGGAAGGTCCAGGAAACTTACTTGGATACCGAGCTCTTCAGCAAAAAATAAGAGAAGTTCATGGTTTGAATGTGCCAAGAGATTTAGTATATGCGATGATGATGGAAGTAAACCCTGAAGGTTTAAAGGAAAGGGGTGGTGTGGGAAAACCGAAAAGAGCTCGAAGAGATAAAGTATTTACTTCTCATGTAAGTAAGCTTCTATTTCTCAGTAATTGCTAACTAGGAAACATGTTTGCATGACGACTTATAAAATTATATGTGTATAGCTATGCTTGGAAAGTTTGTCCAGATAAAAAGACATTTAGTCATTGATATACATGTACTCATTTAAGCTTACATATCTCGGATTTTCAATTTTTAATACAAAAGTACATTGAATATTACATATTGTATAAAATAGGTTGTAGTTTTGCAGATTAAGTTAAAATCCTTGCCAGAATATTGAAAATGTTATATATGCAAATGAGTATATTAATGCCTAAGGTTCTTTTTTATCTGGACAACCTTTTCAAGAATGGCTGCACAAGTTTTTTTATATATGATTAAATGAAGAAATAGGTAAACTGCAAGTATTTATATATTTTTAAGATTTTACTTTGAATCATAGGGATCAGATTGGACCATGTCACTAGACGGGCATGATAAGCTGTGCGGTTACCAGAACTCAATGTTCCCTCTTTCAATTTATGGTGGTCAGGATACCTATAGTGGAAGGATAAACTTCCTGAAGATATGGACAACAAATAGTAATCCTAAAGTAATAGGAAAATTTTATTTGGAATATCTATTTGAAAGCAAAGGTTAGCTGGTCATTATTAGTGTAGAATCAAGAAAAATTACTAAATTTGAGTTATTTTAAAACATTTCTATCATTTTATATTTTCAGTATTGCCTGTCCACCTACGAATTGACAGAGGAACAGAAACTGATGTAATGGCTACTATGCAAATGTTTTTATGTGATAAGTACAATGTCCTGGAAGACCCCAATGACAGTGTTTTATATGGGCCTTCCACTCAAAACAAAATAGAACGTTGGTGGCGTGAACTTTTAGAGAGACTTGAGAGGTTTTTTAAACAACAACTAAAGAATCTTGCTGAAGATGGAGATTATGACTCTACTAGTATGACAGATAGGTAATTGTCTTTGGTTTTAAATTTTCCCCATTAAATTATTTAAATAATTTGTTGCATAATTTCAAATATGATAATAATGATTTCTAGTTTTACAAAAAATGATGTGGATAGAGTGTATACACTCAATCCATTAAACATATAGTACAGTACAGAATAGTATAGAATATGTGCTAAATCTAACTGCTTTGTTTCTTGTCTATGGTAATAAACACTATATTCATTGTAGTGATCAATACTATTTTTCTCACTTAGTATGTGTGCACACTCCATATGAGTGCATTCATTATATCACTGAAACACTTTGTAGGAAATTTCACAAAATGGCACTAATTACATTGTAAACATTAGAAGACAAAAGATTTTGTACTGATTTTCACAATAAATTGTTTAGAACAAACTATTCTATGGATATTGTAAATGCACTTTTAGAAAGTTGTACAAAACATTATTTTGAACTACATTGAAATAATTAAAACTGAATTAATGTCTTGCATGAGGTTCTAATAAATGAACCACACATACAGTAAGGTGGAAGTGAATACCGATCTGCACATTTTCAGGAAAATTTCCAATAAAATCCAAACATGTTCTATCCTGGCAAAACCTAGCTAATACCAGTATTCAAGATATAGCTTTTCTATACTTATAGAAAATATATCATATATATATATACTTATATACTTTTCTATACTAGTATATTTTATTGTATTTTGTCCATTGTGTATTAAATTCTTTAACAAATGCTATTTAATTATATACTTCCTTTTTCAGAAACTTATTGGCCTATGTTTATATTCCTGTTGTTCAAAAAGAACTGGATATTTTTAGAACCACCATTTGGAATAATCATAGGGTACGCAGGCAGAAGAACAAAGAGCTTCCCACAGGTGGTTACATGATGATATATAATGATTATATGCATTGAAATTTCTTCACATGGGCAGGCATTTTGCTTTACAATGTACTTGTTTGTGATATTTCTACGTCTGTACTTTTCTCAACTGTTATATAATAAATGTCTGATAATATGTATGTACATATACTTGTAATTTCATGTAATCTTGAGCAGAATAAAGTTTGTTTCATCTTTGTATTGCTTAATTGTTACAGGTGTACCAGAGCATATGTACCATTGCCCAGAAGAGCATGGGGGCGAAAAATGTGGCATTTCTATAACAGAGGAAGATCTACTTGAAGTAGCACAACTGTCAGATGTATTGATAGACACAGATGATTTTTTGGAGGAAAATTTCCGCAATGAATGCATGAGACACATTCCAAACACTGACGAAATCAAGCCAGCAGATGCTGCAAATGCTTATTTGTTTCTGAGGTCAAATTTTAATAAGGATTGTCTTTAGACTCTTTGGTCTTAGGGAATACATGTATTTAATATTTTATCCCACACCATAGAAAATACAGCCAATCAGAAAGCAAGAAAACCATTGTATATTTGGCGGTATTGAACTGTCTCTTCCCATCAAGCATTGCCGTTATCGGCTGTATTTTCTATGATGTGGGATAAAATAGTTATACAATGGTTTCTCGTGGCATACCATGGATATCCCACTCATCACTTGTGTTTTCTTTGTATACAAACTCGCCTAAAGGCTCGTGTTTAATATAAAATACAAGTGACTCATGGGATATTCCACAGTATTCTGCTCGAAACTGTTGTATAACTAGTATATAAAACAAAAAAATCAACAAATTTCAGTTGAGGCTGCAGTAAAATATGCCTTACATGGTAATGCAACCAAACAAGCCTCAGCTTCGTACGTTTTTTATTCATCTTTCTTAAAGTGATTAATTAAAGCTCCAAAAGTTTAATGCCTTGAAAGGGCATTGGTTGGTATTTCTAGCAAAAACCTACAGGCGTGAACATTGATTGCAAGGAAAGGGTAGAGAGAATATACCCTTCAATGCGGGAAATGAGTGTTAGCAGAGCAGCTCTCCCAAAATTGGGACTGAAGGGTCATCACTCCCTAACAGCAATCTGGATCAATCCCTGTTAATAAATCCTACAAGCTTTTTCTCCAAACTTGAGATTTTCATGAAAACGTATAGTTGGACATTTTAACATTATTTTTTTGAAAATTATTTATTTTTATATAACATTTGCTTTATTGCCAGATCCATAAAAGCCTAGAACATTACAATTATGTCATCTATCACATTATTACTGGGTGATCAATATCAATTGTTTCTAAGGATCCTGGTAACTTTAACAACTCAAACATAAACAAGTAAAAGAGTGATTTTCCTTGGCCATGAAAGATTAGCCAAACTAATAGTATAGTTCTGTAGTAGTCCTCAAGCTCATTATTTTCTCTTGTGCAGTATTGACGAGCACTAATCAGTCGTTTTTTTTCATGGTCCACAGAAAACCACTCTGACTAATAACAATAACAACAATACACAAAATAGTGGTTTTGGGTGACTGCCATACAATAATTGGTAATAATAAACTACTTCAAACCTACAGGTACGCCCTATGGTTTGAACCTTCATTTAAAGCTCATGCATGAGACCAGTTTTTCAAATGGATTGTTTTCTGATGAATGTTACATACATTATCACTCATTCATTCGTGAACTCATATAGAATTTTTTTGCAGGGTTAATTTTCAGTCAATCATACTGTAAACACCTACTTTCACAACTATATTTTCAAGAATGCACTCTCTTATTGATAAAGTGCATCACTAGTAATCAGGGCATATTCACCAAGAAACATAAGGAAAAGTTGAATATTTCTTTATGACTCAAGTCTGATTCAACTTTTTGAGAAAGAACACATTTCTTTAGATATTCTCATTAGTTATTGATTTGATTATCAGAAGGACACAGACCGAAGTTTTGTTGGCTCTCAGGGCTCAAGGGGAGTCTTCAAATTGCATTGGTTTGGCCCTAATCACCCATAATGCACTATATTTACAAAAGCACATATTTCAAAGTGTTAACAAATGCTAGCCGCAACTTGACAAGTCTAATCTGAGATAGGCATCAAATATTCTAATCCCAACATTTTACAATACTTATTACAAACATGTTTGTCAATAAATGTTTTGATTGCGATGACAGATAAATTACCTGTGCAAAAGAAAATAGAATTATCTTTGTCATCTTTCAAGGTGTGTGATGCTATTTCTGGATCACACAAATCAAGTCCAACTCCTTGTATGTCTACCACCATTAGCTGCCTATCGGTGCTTTGATACGTGTAATGGACAAAAGCTTCACACTTCATCCCTAGTTCGTCTCCAAGACTAGTGTAGATGTCACCAGTATTGTTGATGTGTTTCACGAATTTTCCCTCTAAATACCTTTCTAGTGTAACCTCTTCGCCGTTGAGTTTGCCAAAGTACACCTTATTGTAAGTAAAAGTGTCACCAAATTCTTTAGGGACATTTAAGGACATTTTTAAAGCCAAATTGCGAGCCAAGGCATTCATTTGGACCATCTTCCTTGTATGAGCTTCAATTGTGTCAAATAGTTGTTCTATGCCATTGATCTGGTCCTTCTTGAATTTTTTCAGAACATATTTTTCTTTACCTGGAAGCCCAGAGATTACTGACGCTCTATATGCATCACGGAAAGAGCCACTGGAAAAAGGCTCGTTCTCTAAAGACACTTTCACCTCCAAAGGAGGCAGCCATGCTTTCTCCTGAAGATTGAACTCCTCAACAACCACAGTGACTATATCATTTCTCGGCACGATTAACTTGCCTATGTTAAGTAAGGAACTCAAAGGCACAGACGCTGGTACTTTTGAAGGTTCTGGGTGACGTTTAGAAGTACTTTGGAATTTCACGGGGCTTGAGCTTGTAGTTGTCATTCGAGTGTCTATGGTTTGTGAGTGAGAACTTTCGCTTGTCCCGGCAACAAAACGAATATGCAGCACTTTCCAGTTAGATATCTGTGACACATCCGTGAAGGATGGCCCTCTTTCCCCTGCCAAAATATCGCATTCCATATCTGTGATACTAAAATGTTTTTTGCAGGCTTTCTTTATGTTTTCTAGT